TCATTTGTGTGGCAGAGGTTTGTTTTCACATGAAAAAAGGAATTATTTTATTCACAGAACTCCTTAGAAGATTTTTGATGACACCAGAAATATCAGAACCACAGAGTCCTAACTTCAGTAGGATTAGGGCATCTTATTTTTATTATTCTTTTCCCAGGACATGTGGCAATTAGTACTTCCTAAAGTGAATAGATTATTACCTAACAGGAAAGGAAAATATTATGGAAGCCAAGTCTCCATAGTGAAAGTCTATCTGCATGAAAAGTAATAAGTTTAACAGAACTAAGGTGCTGCCTGTTGCTTTTCTGATTTAATAATCGACACCACTATGTGTGTTAATTAGCAACTGAACTAAATTCTTTTCAGTAATTAGGCCATGTGCTGGACAGAATTAATTGTTTAACAAGAGGGGTAAGTCCAAAGGCAGATAGATTATGTTTGGTTCTATCTATTGTCATAAACAGAGGTAAATAATCACATTAATAACGTTACCAAGGACCAGATTTTTACAAAAAACTTCTTGAAGAAGTATTCATTGGTAATTGGCACTGAAAATTCCATAAAAGTACTGACCCATAATACAACTGCAAAGTGGACAGTTTCTCCTGGGGCCTCTTATACCATAGCACTTAAAATAGAATATTTCCTGGAATCTGATTCTTTAATACTTAAGACTTATTATTCCTTTATTAGCTAATATTTATTGTGACCAATGAATTACATTGATTAATTCATTCAATTCTCACAACATGCACTGTGAAATATATATTAATATCTCCATTTTACATATGAAGAAACTGAGCATTAGAGAGCTTGGATGACTTGCCTGTTTGCATAATTAGTAAGTGGTAGATCAGGAGTTCCAGCTCAAACAGTCTGACCCCAGGGTCATATGCTTAACTGTTATTTTGCCCTGATTTATCTTATAACTTTCCTTCTTTAATCTATTCAGATCTGTAAATACAAAGTTTCAGTTTGTAATTAGTAAAAAGATAGTCTTTGGGGTGAGACCTGGATTTGAATTCCAGCTCTCCCACTACCTGTGTGGCCTTGGGCATTTTTTAATTTTGTTATCATTAATCTACAATTACATGCAGAACATTATATTTACTAGGCTCCCCACTTCTCCAAGTACCCCCCCACAATCTCCATTACAGTCGCTGTCCATCAACATAGTAAGATGCTGTAGAATCACTACTTGTCTTCTCTGTGTTGTACAGCCCTCCCCATGCCCCCAACATTATGCATGCTAATTGTAAGGCCCCCTTTCTTTTTCCCTGCCCTTATCCCTCCTTTCCCACCCATCCTCCCCAGTCCCTTTCCCTTTGGTAACTGTTAGTCCATTCTTGGGTTCTGTGATACTGCTGCTGTTTTGTTCCTTCCAGAGAAATGCAAATTAAAATCACAATGAGATATCACCTCACACCAGTAAGGATCACCATCATCCAAAAGACAAACAACAGCAAATGTTGGCGAGATTGTGGAAAACGGGAACCCTCCTATACTGCTGGTGAGAACGTAAATTAGTTCAACCATTGTGGAAAGCAGCATGGAGGCTCCTCAAAAAGCTCAAAATAGAAATGCCATTTGACCCAAGAAACCCACTTCTAGGAATTTACCCTAAGAATGCAACAGCCCAGTTTGAAAAAGACAGATGCACCCCTATGTTTATCACAGCACTATTTACAATAGCCAAGAAATGGCAGCAACCCAAGTGTCCATCCATAGATGAATTGATAAAAATGTGGTACATATACACAATGGAATATTATTCAGGCATAAGAAGAAAACAAATCCTACCATTTGAAACAACATGGATGGAGCTAGAAGGTATTATGCTCAGTGAAATAAGCTAGGTGGAGAAAGACAAGTACCAAATGATTTCACTCATATGTGGAGTATAAGAACAAAGAAAAACTGAAGGCACAAAACACCTTGGGCATTTTACTTAATTTTCCTTATCTTTCATTTTTTTCCTCTGCAAAATAAGCTTAATAACAACTACTTGACAAGATTGGTGTGGGGAATAAATCAGCATCATGAATGCCACATGCCTTGTGCACAGCAGATCACTTAATTAAAATTATCCCCTTTCCTCAAAACAGCCCCCTAAGTAGCTACTCACTGGCCACCCCAGATAGCCCCTGGATATTTACCCAGTGTGCTTTCCCACTCTTACTACCACCACTACCACCAAAACTACTCAATTAGGCCTGTCTTTCCTTTACCACCCAGCCTGGTTACACCTAACATTCATGTTTAAGTTTGCATTCAAGTTCCAGAAATTTTTCTTGTCTTCTCCAAAACTTCAAGTTACATATATCTGTACTCCATGAATTATAATGGCTATAAATGTTATTCTTCCTGAGTTCAATATTTAATTGCATTTTACTAGAGCCACTGAAGACATAACACCTTATCCCAGGGATAGCATCTATTTTTGCCTGCCAAGAATCACAGACCCACAGAAAAGAACAATTGGGATAAATTAAATGAAAACAGGCACAAAAATCAGACTCATTGCAATATCTCCAATGTGACAAAGCTGGAGGGGTCATTACAGGTGTTCTAGTAAAAATTCCTCAGAAAATAGATGAGAATTTTCTAAGATTACACAATGTTAAATCCAAGACTAGAGGTTAGATCCTTGAATCCCAGTCAAATTATCTTTCCAAACTCCCACTGCCTCAGAGTGTTTCTCTCTAAGAACAAAATAAAACACCTCTTTAACCTTGTGTAAAGATAAAAACAGAAAAATTAGTTCTAACCAACAAGTACAATAAACAATTAAATTGCAAGCTCAAATCTTTACTACCAAGATAATTAGCAAGTCCTGAGTTAGCTGGTTATCTTGCAGCTCCATCAGATAGTGGCTCTGGTTCTTCCATGATCCCCACATCTCTACGGATGTCATTGGCAGTATCTTTGCTTGAATTTCAACTTCCAGACCAAATATCTCCCTTTCTCATGCACCAAAATTTGTGTCTTTTGAGATACATGCACCCTATCTGCCATCCTTTCTTTCTGATTTGATGCTATTGACCACTGCCCCAGTCCTATTAGGACTGTATCTCCAAGTTACATTACCACTTCCAACTTCTGATGTCAACTAGAGAGATTTTAATGTCCATGTAAATAATCTATTTACTACCTTAGCCCAAAGTTCCCTTGACCTTCTTAACTACAATTAATTTTTGCACTCTTCTTCAGCCATTCACTCCTGTGGCCACATCTGAATATTGCCGTAAGTCAAACTGCTTCATCTAAAAACATAATTTCAGACATCTCATTAATTGACCCCAAGACAATCTATCCCCAGTTCTTTCTCTATTCGTATTCTCTGACCTAAAGTTATTCAACCCCTCCCTTTATGCCAGTGCACAACTTGTCTCTGTCTTCACTTCCTTCTCTATCTGGTTTGGACACCATGGATCTCAATTTTTCTCTCCAAGGACTTTCAATTTCATTTTCCTTTTATCCAAATCATATCTGCCCTACTAAAACACAGTCCTGAAGCAATATAAGCACCTTTCATCTTTGCTATTGAACCCAAGCACCTGAATGCTACAAAGGAGAAAACTGCACAACCATGCAGAGAGTGATCACTAAAAATCCCAATCACCAGGGCAAGTAGCTCAGAAACTCTTCTAGTCAACTTCGTCTTCTCCCATTATCTTCATAAACAATCTCAAACCTCTTTCTGAATCCCCACCACAACCACCCTCTCCCTTTGAGCAGATGACATTATCTCTTACTTACTGAGAAAACTAAAGGTCATCAAGTAGTAATTTCCATTACTTCCTTCAACCCTACACATTTATCTGCATCTGTGGCCATTATATACTCCCTTTCTTTTTAATATATTTTTTTTTTATTTTTATTTTTTATTAAGGTATTATTGATATACACTCTTATGAAGGTTTCATATGAATAAACAATGCAGTTACTACATTTACCCATATTATCATGTCCCCCCTCCATTGCAGTCACTGTCCATCTGTGTTATATACTCCCTTTCTTCTTACATTGCATTGGGAAGAAGTATTCATTTGTTCATTTCTTATCTCATCATTTCCTGTTGTGGGCAGGAACCTTGCTATTTCCCTCCTACTCTATCTTTTCCTTTAGCATATGAAATTTTTCAAGTATCTCTATCTTAAAAACAACCATGACTATAAAAAGCAATAATTCCCTGGTCTTACTTTCCCCCTCTAATTTGCTCTATCTCTACTTTCTATCACAGACAACTTTATGAAAAAAATTAAGCTTCAGTGCTCTGTATCCTCTCCCATACCAGAGCCACAAAATGGCCCCATCCACTCCATTAAACCTGCAGGCAGGGCAGGCAAAGGGTGGCCCTAACCACAACAATCCCAGCAGAAGTCTCTGCTCTGATCACAAAGGGCAGCTGAGGCACACTGCCAGCACAGCAGACTCAGATCACTGTAAGCAGACAGACAGGAAGGCAGCCCCACCCATTGCTCAACAGCAACTGGGGCTCCCTCAAAATAGAACCAGGCACTGGAGAGTAAAGAGTTTTAAGTTTCTGGGTGCCACAGGACTCCTCCTTCATAAAAATATTTCTCTCTAGTCTAGGAAGCATAGCAGATCCATCTAATACAAAGGAAGAAACAAACCCTGACAAAATTGAGATAGGTCAGGGACATGGGACAAGCATCATGATTAACTTTTCTTGCCTATGATGAAAAATGTCAAGATGTAAATAGTATAGTAAAAATAGGAGGAATTTCATCTTAAGGCTAAGATTTCATTTTAAAAACCAGAGAGTTAGGAGGTGAGATTCCTAACATATTCCTTGGCAATTAGCCAACATGCTATCTATCCTAAGTCAGGGCAAGCAATCCTAACTGATACATTCCCAGTGCTTGAAGGAAACCACTATCTTGGAGAACAGGAACAATAAATTACTTGTGTTAAGTTTATCTAACAGCATTATCTAGAGGAATGACTGTGTATAGTAACATAATTTCTTTCATCAGGGAAAGACATCATGAGATGGAGGCAGAAGGTAGCCACTGGGATAGGTAAAACAAGACACGTTGCCTTGATCAGTCAAACAGGACACTGACATAAGGCATTGTCATCAGCCAGCCAAGTGGACATAAGAAACCACCTCCTGAAATGGCCAACCTGAGAAACAAGGGGTCTTTCTGGTTCCAGCCCAGCCCTAGCAACAGGTCCTAGGCAACCAGGTGGACTTCCTTCTTTCCAGTGCTTATAATACCCTGGACACTGCAGCCCAAATGGTTTTCTCTCTTGGAACCCCTCCCAATTAGTGGGAACTCTCTTCTTTTTACTCTTCATTAAAAGCTTTGCTGGTTGCTCAGTACTCTTGTCTGTTGGCTTCATTCTTCATTGCTTCTGGCACAAGATCCTGGAAAAAACAACATCTCAGCTGGTAACAAGATCATAGGTAAAGCCTATTCCCAGCAACACCCTATGCCCCTTTGCCCCATTTTGAAAGCCTTAAAAGAAAGAATCCTAAGCCCTGTGTGCCTCATCTCTGAGATTGTCCATACTCCCCATTCTTTGAGTGTGTATTTCTTAAACAAAGCCTTCTCAGTATTCAACTTATCACTTTCTGTCTCTGCTCTCTTCCAGTGTTAAGTGTCTTTTTCACTTTGCTATTTCATTCTATTTTCCAGACTTAAGGACAAGTCTTCACTCTGTCTCTTTTCTACTCCAGATAAGTAGGGAGGGGCTACTGAGATCTCTGATTTGGGCTTGCAAGTTCCCATTACCTAAGTGACCTGGACAGGAATGCAGCTGTACGATCATGCTTTTTAGTGGTCTGCTGAAAATCTCCTTTGTTTGTCTTTGAGAAGTTCTCAGAATATAATCTCACTCCATCCAGAGCTCTGCAGCTCCCCCAAATCCTGGGGTGATATGGGCTTAGCTCCCATGCTATATAGATTCAAGCACACACTGAGTGCCAGGGTACCCTGACTTTAGAAGTCAGCAAGGGATTTGCCCTATGATGAACAAGAGTTCAGTGAGATTATCTTTCCTCCCTCTGTTCTTCCTTGATCTCTGCTGCCTTCAAAGCAGCTGCCATTCCATGACACTCTTGCTTTAATGAATTACTTCCTTACCTACACTCATCCAAACTACTCAAGAATTTTTTCTCATTTAAAGTCAAGAACGCTCCCCCAACCGAGTTTGAGGTTTCACCTAGTACACAGGGAGAGACTTCCCCAGATAAAACTTCCCAAGAACAAAAGAAGAATGCAGAGGAAAATGTCCCAAACAAAACTACAGGAAAAGACACGAGAAAGAGAGCTAAATGAAATGGAGATCACCAATCATTTTGATAAATATTTCAAAGTAAAAGTCATAAATATGCTCACTGATTTGCAGAAAATTATTGGAGATCACAGAGAGGACTTCCACAAAAATACAGGAGAGCTGAAAAAGAGCTACTCATAGCTGAAGAATACATGAACTAAAATGAAACATACAATGAAGGAAATCAATAATAGATTGCTGCAAGCAGAGGGTACACTCAATGAGGTGGAAATTAGAGAACAGGAACACAATGAACCAGAGGAGCAAAAATAAAAAAGGATCTCTAAGAATAAAAGAAGAGTAAGAGATCTGTGTGACCAATCAAATGAAACAATATTGACATACTAGGGATACCAGAAAGAGAGAGGGAGAGACAAAGGGATAGAAAGTTGCTTGAGGAAATAATTGTTGAAAATTTCCCCAATTTGGGGAACAAAATAGATACTTGGGTCATGGAATCACAGATCCCCTAACAAAAGGAACCCCTAGAAGACAACACCAAGACATATAATAATTAAAATGACAAGATTAAGTAAAAGGAGAGAGTATTGAAAGAAGTAACAGAGAGAAAAATGTTTAATCATAAAGGAAATCCCATCAGGCTATGCAGACTTCTCAGCAGAAATTTTATAGGCCAGGAGGGAGTAGCATGAAATATTTAATGTAATGAAACAGAAGAACCTTCAACAAAACATCCTCTACCCAGCAAGATTATCATTCAAATTTGAAACACGGGTTAAACAATTTCCAGATAAATTATGGCATAAAGAACTTATAACAAATAAACAAGCACTACATGGTATGATAAAGGTACTGCTGTAGATGGAAATATTCCTAAGGCTAAATAACTTTTACCAGTGCAAATAAACCCACAGTAAGGGTAAGAGACCAATTAATTACCAAGCAAGCACAAAATTAAAACAAAACAAAAGAAGCAAAATCAACTATACACAAAATCAGTCAAGGGATACACAAAAAATGCAGATTTTGACATCTAATACATACACTTTGGAGAAGGAAGATGAAAAAGAAGTACTTTAAAATTGTGTTTGAAATAGAGCAATCAGCAACTTAATATAGACCATTATATAGTCAGGAAGCAATCCTTGAACCTTTGGTAATCATGAAACTAAAGCCTATAAAAGATAAGCAAAATGCTTAAAAAACATAAATGCAATAAAAACACTAAAGAAAGCCATCAAATAAAAAGAGAAGAGTATAAGAGAGGAAGAAAGGAACAGACAGAAGCTATAAAAACAACCTGAAAACAATTAATAAAATGGCAGTAAGTACATACCTATCAATAATTACCTTAAATGTAAATGGACTCAATACACCAATCAGAAGAAATAGAGTGGCAGAATGGATAAAGAAACAAGATCCATCTATATGCTGCCTACCAGAGATGCATTTCAGACCCAAAAACATACACAGAAGGAATGGAAAAAGATATATCATGCAAATAATAGAGAGAAAAAGGCAAGAGTAGCAGTACTTATAAAAAGTAGATTTCAAAGCAAAGAAAATAATGAGATGAAGAAGGACATTGTATAAAGATAAAGAGGTCAGTCCATCAAGAGGCTATAGCCATTATAAATGTCTGTGCATCCTACAAATAGGAGCACCAAAATATGTAAAACAAATACTAACAGATGTAAATGGGGAAATGGATTGTAACACAAACATTTTAGGGTACTTTGACACACCACTCACATTAATAGAGAGATCAGTCAGAGATAAAATAAATAAGGAAACAGAGGTATTGAACTATACATTAGATCAAATGGACTTAAGAGATATTTACAGAACATTCCACCCAAAAGCAGGATAGACATTCTTCTCAAGTGTACCTGTAATGTTCTCTAGAATAGATCACATAATAGGCCACAAGAAGATTCTCTATAAATTCAAAAAGATAGAAATTGTATCAAGCAACTTCTCAGAACACAATGGTATGAAACTGGAAAAAAATTATACAAGGGAAACAAAAAAGCCTACAAACTCATGGAGGATAACAACATGCTTCTAAATAATCAATGGATCAATGAACAAATTAAAACAGAAATCAAGCAATACATGGAGACAAATAAGAAGAAAAATTAAACAGTCCCAAATTTGTGGGATGCTGCAAATCAGGACAAAGAGGGATGTACATAGCAATCCAGGCCTACCTAAGAAACAAGAACAACCCGAAACAAACATTCTAAAATTGCAACTAAATAAACTAGAAAAAGATGTAAAATTTAAACACAAATTTAGTAGAAGAATAGACATAATAAAGATTGGAGTAGAAATAAACAAAGTAGACAATAAAACAATATACAAAATCAATGAAGCCAAGAGCTGATTCTATGGGAAAATAAACAAAATATATCAACCCCTAGCCAGACTTATCAAGAAAAAGGAGAGTATGTAGATAAACAAAATCAGAAATAAAGAAGGAATTCACAACAGATTCCACAGAAATACAAAGAATTATTAAATAATCTGAAAAATTATATGTCAATAAAATGGACAACCTAAAAGAAATGGACAACTTCCTAGAAAAATACAATGTTCTAAGACTGACATAGGAAGAAAAAGAAAATGTGAAGAGACCAATTACCAGCAATGAAATTGAATTGGTAATCTAAAAACTCTCCAAAATCAAAATCTCAGGTTCAAATGGCTTCACAGCTGAATTCTACCAACTATTTAAAAAGACAATACCTATCCTTCTTAAAGTATTCCAAAAAATAGAAAACGATAGAATATTTCCATACTCATTTGATGAGGCCAATATCACTCAAATACCAAAATCAGACAGGGATGCCACAAAAAAGAGAGAATTTTAGACCAATACCCCTGATGAACATAGATGCAAAAATTCCTTAGTAAAATTTTAGCAAAGTGAAATAAAAAAAACATCAAAAAGACCATCCATCATGACCATGTAAGGTTTATTCCAGGGATGCAAGGATGGTACAAGATTCAGAAATCAATCAATATCACACACCAGATTATCAAAAGGAATGATGAAAGGCACATGATCATCTCCATAGATGCTGTAAAAGCATTTGACAAAATTCAACATCCATTCATGAAAAAAACTGTCAACAAAATGGGTAGAGAAGGTATTTACCTCAACATAATAAAGGTCATGTACAACGAACCCACAGATAACATCATACTCAATGCCAAAAATCTGAAACCTTTTCATCCAATATTAAGGATGGCCACTTTACTCCAATATCAAGGAACAAGACAAGGATGCCCAGTCTCACCACTTTTATTCAATACAGTACTGGAAGTCCTTGCCATGCCAAACAAACAAAACAGAGAGAGAAGCATTGAAATTGGTAAGGAGGAAGTTAAACTGTCAATGTTCACAGATGACATGATATTTTACATAAAAAACAATAAAGAATCCACCCCAAAACTACTAGAACTAATAACTAAATTCAGCAAAGTTACAAGGTAGAGGATTAACACACAGATATCTGTTGCATTCCTATATACTAACAATGAAGTAGCAGAAAGAGAAATCAGGAAAACAATTCCATTTACAATTGCATCGTAAGAATAAAATACCTAGGAAACTTAACCAAGGAGGTTAAAGACCTCTACTCTGAACTATCATGGGAAAAATAAAGAAGACATCAAGAAATGGAACTCTAGCCAATGTTCCTGTATAGGAAAAATTAAAATATTGTCAAAATGGCCATGCTCCCTAGAGCAATTTACAGATGCAATGCAATCCCTATCAAAATACCAGCAGCATTTTTTCAATGAACTAGAAGACATAGTTCTCAAATTCATATGGAACCTCAAAACACACTGAATAACAAAAGCAATCCTAAGACAGAATAACAAAAACAAAAACTGTCCCTGACTTAAAGTTCAGCTTCAAAGCTACAGTAATCAAAACAGTATGGTACTGGGACAATAACAGACCCATAGATCAATGGAACAGATTAGAGAGCCCAGATATAAACCCACACATATATGGTCAATTAATATTTGATAAGGAAGCCTTGAATAAGC